GTTTGGCTACCACCAGGCATCATAATAATTTTCTCCTATAAAGCGAATTTTAAATTTCGTTTCTCGGGACGAAATACAAACTAAGTATGTATAGTTTGTTAGAATATCGCATTACGTTTAGAAAGAGACGCGGCGCAAAGTTATTCGATTGCCTTCCACAAAAAGGAAAAAAAAAAAAAAAAATCACAGATGAGACGGTTTGTGTTGGTGATGAGAGCGAATGTTGTCTGCAAAGAGGGGGCGAAGGGCAATTGGGTGGGGGGAAGTGGAGGAGTAGGGGAGATTCGCGATTGAACGTACGGGAGCCACCGTTCGATTCGCTATTAGAGGGTAATAGGTATTATCGATTTTGGAACCAGAGAGGTTATCTCGGTTCAAATCGTGACAAATATAGTTTTCCACCCAGCTTCTACGAAAGCTGCGCGCCATTATTGTTAAGCCTCCCCCTCCCCTGTGCCCCCTCTTCACTCTCCGTTATTTGAAAACATTTTTCAAATAAAACACTTCCCCTGGATAATTACAAAATTTTAATTAAATATCGGCGAAATAAACATAAATCTATAGATTTTTTTTTTGTTTCTCGATACCATATGTGTTCACTTTTGTATCTCACTTTTGTTTTATAGATAATCATCCAGGTTGTCTATTTTATTTTTGGCAAATGATTTTTGTCAAATGAATTTTAAGAATTTTATGGGAATTAAAATTTTGACCAGAACTTGGGAGTTCTGGTCGAAATTTTTAATTCCCATAAAATCCTTGCAAACCTACATTTGATAATTATTTTATTATTCCAAATTTTCTTTTCTATATGGAGTAAGATTTTGATGGATAAAAAATATTAGAGAGGAGGAAAAAAAATAATTTTTTTGATATGTAATTAATTAAATGACCGTGTGTGGTGTTTTTTTTAGCCTCATGGGATTATAATTAAGATTCAGATGAAAGTGAGACGACGAGAGTTGGAGTGACGGTGCAAAATTGTTAGGCATGTAAACGCACGTGCCACACGATTTGCTTAATTTAGAGACGATTCGTCGGACGTTATTTATGCCCCTTGTCAAGGTAGTAACGAAAATAATTTTCTCCAACGTCAGCTCTCTGAGTAGTGGAAATTTTCATGGTGTAAAAGAAGCGTGGCGAAAGTTGAACTTTTCTCCACTATTCTGAACACATCAGTGGCGAAAGTGGAACTTTTCTCCACGCTGAAAAAAAAAAAATTATATTTGATTCAAATAACCGATAAATTGACTATTATATCAATTATTATATCAAATATTTACTTGAATCAAATAATATTATTATTTATTGAAGTCAATTAAATGACATTTGAACCAATAATTTATTTCAGTATTTGAAAGCAAATATATGAAAAAAAAAAAAAAAAAAAAATTCAATTGAACTTTTTCAAAAAAATTAGTTTTAAATATTCCATTGTTTCTAAAAATTCACGATTGATTGCTTTTGATATTCAATTATTATCTAAAATTTTATTTGAAATTCATTATTTATAAATTGAAAATCAATTTTTAAGAAAAAATTCTACTAGAATTAAATTATTTAAATATAAATAAAATCCAAATAAATAATTCATTGAATAATTGAATGTTTCGTAGAATTCAATTCTGATAAAGAATTTTATAAACATTGAATAATTGAATTCTTTCGACAAATTTTTATTTTAATAAAATTTTTAAGAATAATTACAGTCTTCGAGAAATCCGATTAAAATTCTATTGAAAATAATTGAAATTCTGAAATGAGATGATTTATTATATTTGTGAAAATAATTGAATCGCCCTAAGAAGAATTTTTATTATTTTTGAACAATAATTTATTTTTGCAAAGAATATTATTACTTTTGAAAATAATTGAATTTCTGCAATAATTCGTAAATTTTCTAAAATTAAATTTTTTTTTCCTGTTTTTAACTAAAATACTTCTATAAATGCATTATTTTTTAATAATTTTTGAACAAGTTTTTTTTTGAGAATTTTCAAATTTATTTGTTTACAATTGAATTTTTATAAAATTTCAATTATTCGAAAATTTTTCAATTAAATAATATTAAAAAATAAAAAATTATTTAAATGGATGAAAAATTCAAATTTTTCGAAGATTTGAATTTTTGATAACTTTTTAAAATTCAATTATTTCTAAAAAATTTTTTTTTTTGAATCAATTTTTAAAAGTGAATATTGTTATTTAAAAAAATAATTGAATTTTACAAAGAATTTTATTAAAATTTCTGAAGATGTAATTAAATTTTTGGGAAGAGTTTTGCTATTTATTAAAATAATTGAATTTTTTCGAAGAATTGCATTAAAAATTTTGCAATAATTAAATATAATTGAAAAAAATTCAACTTTAGTTTCAACAGAATTGAAATTGAAAATTTTCAAAAAAAATTAGTTTTATAGAATTGTTAATTAAAAATATAAAAATTTCATATTTTTCATAATTTTAATTTGATACCTTTTCAAAATTCAATTATTTCTAAAAATTCACGCTATATTGCATTTTATATTCAATTATTGTCTAAAATTTTAACTGAAATTCATTTTTAAATCAATTTTTAATAGAAAATTCTACTAGAATTCAATTATTTAAATAAAAAAAATAATTTATTTAATAATTGAATGGTTCTGAAAATTGAATTCTCATAAAGAATTTTACCAACAAATTTTTAAATAATTGAATTCTTTTGACGAATTTTAATAAAATTTTTATGAATAATTACTACATTTTTCGAGGAATTCGATTAAAATTGTATTAAAAATAATTGAAATTGCTTGTGATGAGTTTTATTATTTGTGCGAAAGTAATTGAATCCCTAAAAAAATGGAATTATTTACGAAAATAATTGAATTTCTAAAAAGAATTGAATTATTTACGAAAATAATTGAATTTCTAAAAAGAATTGAATTATTTATGAAAATAATTGAAAAATAATTGAATTTCTAAAAAGAATTGAATTATTTACGAAAATAATTGAATTCCTAAAAAGAATTGAATTATTTATGAAAATAATTGAAAAATAATTAAATTTCTAAAAAGAATTTTATTATTTATATATGAATATAATTGAATTCTTGTAAAAATTTTATTATTTATGAAAATAATTGAATAATTGCGAAGAAATTTATAAAAAAAATTGGTAAATAATTGGATTTCTGTGAAATTTTTATTATTTATGAAAATAATTAAATCTTTGCGTAGAATTTCATTAACTTTTTTTTAAATAATTAAATTCTTTTGGAAATTTTCATTAAAATTTTTAAGCATAATTACATTTTTCGAAGATTTCGATTAAAAACTTTCAACAATTCAATGATTTTCAATATCTATGATTTTAGTAAATTATTCAAAAAAAAAAAAAAATCAATAAAATTCAAATTAAAAAATTCAATTATTTTCATAAATATTAAAAATTTTGACAAGGATTCAATTATTTTTATAAATAATAAAAAATTTTTACAAGGATTTAATTATATTTTTATAAATAATAAAATTTTCTTTGGAAATTCAATTATTTTCATAACTTAATAAAAAAATTTTTTTTTGGGTATTCAATTATTTTCATAAAAGATAAAACTCATCGCAGAATTTCTATAATTAAAAATATCATTTACTATACATATTTGTATACCTATGTTAAGAGTATGAAAAATACAAATTTTCATGGATTTTAATTTTTGAGGCCTTTTCAAAATTTAATTATTTTTTTTGAAATTCTGCGATGAAATTTTATTTTATTTATGAAAACAATTGAATTTCTAAATAGAATTTTATTATTTACGAAAAGAATATTGTATTCATGTAAAAATTTTCATATTTATGAAAAAAATTATAAATTCCTGTGAAATTGTTATTATTTTATAAAAAATAATTAATAAGGTTTGCGTAGAATTTTGATAAAATGTTTTTAAATAATTGAATTTTTTTGGATCATTTTATTGGAATAGTCGATATTTTTGCAAATCATTAAATTGAGGAAATTTTTTGAAAATTATTGAAATTTTGCGAAAAAAGTTTTATTAAAATTTTTGAAAATAATTGAATTTTTGGCGAAAAATTTTGCTATTTATAAAAATAATTGAATTCTTGTGGAGAATTTTTTTTTTTTTTAATTTTTGAACATAATTGAATTTTTTGCAAAAAAATTTTATTATACTTATGAAAATAGTTAAATTTTTAGTAAAATTTTACTGATATTTTATAGTGGAATTCCACTAATTGAAAGTCAGTTATTTCACACTAAATGAATTAGTGAAACTGTTTTATCGACTATTAATAAAACAGTTCTACTAATTTTTCGTAGAATTCTACTAAGCAATTAGTAAAACTTTACTAAAAATTTGTAAAGTTTTACTAACAATTTGTAAAGCTTTAGTAACAATTTGTAAAGCTTTAGTAACAATTTGTAAAATTTCACTATTTGTTAGTGTAGCTTCACTAAAAATTATTACTAAATTATTTGGTGGACGACTTTTCCTCATTTCATTAGTAAACTTTCTGCTAATTCAGATTTAGAGAGTATTTGAATTTGATTATGTTTCATAAAATAACGAACAAATGGTCTAAGTGAGGGACACAAGTGTATACTTGTGTCCCTCACTTAGACCACTTGTTCGTTATTTTATTTTTATTTTATAACAAATTGTCTGAGTGAGGGACAAAAGTATATACTTGTGTCCCTCACTTGGACCATTTGTTTATTATTTTATGAAACATAATCAAATTAAAATTATGTAAAACTTACGAAGAAACCTTTCCTCGCAAGACGTTGGACAAAACGTCGCTTGCAACTTTAAAAAATGATATGTTGACTAACTAAAAATTGTCTTCAAAATTTTTTAATGGAAAATTTGGATTCTTTGACCTAAACCTCAAAACACAAAATAAATGATTTTACGTTGGTGATTCTCATAATAGAACTAATTTCTATAATAAAGAAGTTGAAATTATGTTTGACATATTGTCCCTTCTTTTTGTTTCAGCAGCAAAAATTCCTGAAGAGGACGACAGAAGATTTGGAGCCATCGGGGGGTGGTGGTGGCGATGGAACATTTGGTGAGCCACCGGTGAAGCTACAGTGCACGCAGGGTCAACATCAACATCAGCAAACTCAAGGCGGCGGTGGTGGTCCTCACTTGGGACACGGTCCACATCTAACCGGAAATGGCACCAATCCCACTGGGCAGCAAGCCGGTGGTGGTGGAGGTGGTGGTGGCGGCGGTAATGGCACCGGTGGCACCGCCGGCAACGAGGGTCTCACCAAATTCTCCGTGGAAATTGTCCAACAACTCGAATTCACCACTTCGGCCGCAAATTCCCAGGCGCAACAGATCTCGACGAACGTGACCGTTAAGGCCCTGACGAACGCCTCCGTGAAGTCTGACCTGGTGAATTCCTCCTCGTCCCCAAAACCCGGACCCGACTCCCAGACGAACGCCCCGAGGCCTCAAAATCCACCCGCCGGCGCCGGCAGCATCGGCTGCGTTGACATCGGGAACCTCGTCGAGTGCAAACAAGAGCCGGACAATGAATTCGTCGATTTGGAGCAGTGCGCCGCCGCTCTGGAAAAAGACGCGGCCGCGAATGGCGCCGGTTTTCCGGGTTTCTCCGATTTTATCGGCGACGACACTGGCGACGAAATAATCACCTCCGACGCATTCAAAGACCTCATTTCGGAGATATCCGACTTCCATCCGGAGTTCATGAAGGACTTTGACTTCGAGGACAAGAGTGTGGACGCACTGGCGAATAGTGCAATCAGCGACGTGCCAAACAATGGACAAATTAAAATCGAGGACGACAAGGACTCGATCCATCAACACGCGACCAACGGCAACGGCAACAATCCCACCGTGGTGTCCAACTCTAGTCCCGGGAATTTAGCCTCCTCCCAATATTCCCCAGCGAGACTCCCCTATTCGGGCCTCTCCGAAATGAGCCCCGCCGCTCAAACCCTCAAGCAAATGGCCGAACAGCACCAACACAAGAGCCAACAAATGGGTCTCGGTGGCTTCAATCCAAATTCAACTGCGGCCCGAGGACCCACCGCGAGATCGCCATACGCCGAATTCTCACAATTCGGCGGACCCACCGACTATCTCGGCAGTCCCAGCAACAATGTCACGCAGTCTTCGCAAAATCAAAACGCACCCAACAGTGGCAACTATCACAAGAACAATGGCTCGCAGGGATTCCAGAATCAGCAGAGCGCGGACATTTTCGGTGCTCAGACGCAATTTGCGAGCCTGGCGGATATGAAGAGGCCGCAGCCGGGCGGCGGGAAGCCGAACATGCTCGCGCCTACCGGCGGCTACAAGCAACAGTATTCGCCTTACGGAAGTCCCGGTTCAATGCCCAATCATGGGAGTCCTGGTTATCCTCTACCTCCACGAGGGACTCCGGGCGCTGGTCCCAATCAACCTGGCTCACAAGGACCCTTCACCAGTTCCACACCACCGAGACCACCGTCCGGTTCGGGGACTTCCACACTTCAAATCAATCAGGCACAACAGTTACACATCAGCAATCCTGGTCATCAAATTCAGGTATTTCATTCAACCGTCTTTTTTCAAAAAAGGGATTTTTTAAGGCTCGACTTTTGAAACATGATGAAAACATGATGCAATTAGAAACATGATGCAATTTTAGCTATTCTACGGGGTAGTTAGTGACAAAACAAAGACACAAAGAAATTTCCGAAATTCAGGATTACCGCACAGAACAGGAGGTTAGGGATTTCTATCAAAAGTACTGGAAGAAATTAAATTTTTAAAATTCCAGGCATGACAGTGACCCAAAAAGGTATTTTAGGAGAAATAGGGGACTGAAAATTAAAAAATAGGGAAATTTTAAAGGACCATAAAAATTGGTTGAATAAAGATGAAAATATTTATTTATACAGGGTTGCCATACAAAAATTTAACTTTATTTTTCCCTGATTTCCAAACACAACTTTCACTTTTTCCCTGACCCTAAAGAATATTCTATGATTCACTCACAAAATTATTAGATACGAAAAAAATGTTCTATTAAAATTTACAAATTTCTTCAAAAGTAAAATTACTCGAAAACATCAATAACTTTATTTCAAATAAATATTTAATCGTTATTTTTCATTGGAATTAAACATCTTCAAAAGATTCAAATTCAAATCTTTTCAAATTGAACAACTCAGAAGAATATTATTATAAAACAGAAAGAAATGGATCAGTCCGAGTCTTCGACTCGGAGTGATCCATTTCTTTATGTTTTATAATAATTAAAGTTGACCGACTGACAAAATCATTATTTTATTTATTTAACAATTGTCCCGCAGTCCATATGGACCATAAACAGTCCCTATGGGTAACTAGATTAATAAGTATATAAAATATAATATGAATTACAAAAAAAAGTGTATATAAAAATTTTAATAGAAGAATAATGTCATATTGCCGCATTTAACAATTATCGTTCAGGCAGGTGTCGATTTATTTTATTATTATAAGAATATTGTTACTGTAATTTCTTCGAAATTATTTCTATCAATTCAATTCAATTAACATTTTCTGGAATTTTTAACTAAAATTCTACTTTAAATTAATAACATCAATTATTATTCAATTAAACATCTTCAAAAAAATTAATTCTACAAAATTGTTAGTTAAAAGTACGAAAAATAATAATTTAATTCTACGAGAAATCAATTATTTTGACACAAAAATAAATAATATTGAATGTTTCTTAAAATTTAATTTTTACGAAGAATCGTATTAAGAACTTTTGAAAATATTTAATTTCTTTTAAGGAATTTAATTAAAATTTTAATGAAATTTATTATATTAAAAAATTTTATAACAATTTTTAAAAATAATTGAAAACTTTTTGAAGAATTTTATTAATTTTTTTAAAAATAATTGAATTTTTTAGAAGAATTTAAATAATAATTTTTGAAAACAATTGAATTCATGAGAAGAATTTTGTTAAAATTTTTGAAAATAATTTACTTCTTGAGAAGAATTTTTAACAAATTTTTGACAATAATTTAATTCTTGAGAAGAATTTCTCAATCTATTTATAAAGATTATTTAATTCTTGACGAGAATTTTTTAAAAATTTTGAAAATAATTTAATTTCTGCAAAGTATTTCATTACTTTTCAAAAGAATTGAATTCTTGTGATGAATTTTGAAATTTATCAAAATAATTGAATTTTGTAAAGAATTTAAAAAAAATATAATAATAATAATATTTAATATTAATAAATAAATGTATATAATCTATAATATAATAATATAATATATAATATATTTAATATTATTTAATATTTTTAATATTAATCAAAACAATTGAATTTTCGGAAAGAATTTATGCGATTTTGTTGTTTATCAAGCTAATTGAATTCTTTTGCAAAATTACTTAAAATTTTTGAAAATAATTGATTTTCTGCGACGAATTAAATGTTATTTATGAAAACATTTGAATTATTGCAACGAATTTTAATGTTTTATTGAATAATTAAATGTTTCTTGAAATTGAATTCTTTCGTCAAGTTTTAATAAAATTTTTAAAAATAATTGCATTTTTCAAGGAATTTATTTAAAATTGTATTAAAAATATTTGAAATTCTGCGTTGAAAATAGTTGAATTCGTAAATGAAATTTTATTATTTATAAAAATAATTCAATCTTTACGTATAGAATTGTATCAAAAAGTTTTTTCTCTAATTAAATCTGTTGATAAATTTTATGAAAATAGTAAATATAGAAAATTATTGAATTGCGAAAAACTTTAAAAAATAATTGAAATGTTGCAAAGAATTTTATTTAAATATTTGAAAATAATTGAATTTTTGGCGAAAAATTTTGTTATTTATAAAAATAATTGAATTCTTAACGAGATATTCATTAAAATTTTTAAATATAATTGAATTCGTGCAAAGTATTTTATTAAATTTTGTTTAAATAACTGAAATTTTGCCAAGAATTTAATTAAAATTTTTGACAATAATTGAATTCTTGAGAAGAATTTTGATATTTATCAAAATAATTGAATTTTGGAAAAGAATTTCACTAAATACCTTAAAATAATTTATTTTATAAGGAGAATTTTGTTGGTTATCAAGATAATTAAATTCTTTTGCAAAATTACTTGAATTTTTTTGAAAATAATTGATTTTCTGCGACGAATTAAATGTTATTTATGAAAATATTTGAATTATTGCAACGAATTTTATTGTTTTATTGAATAATTGAATGTTTCTTAAAATTAAATTCTTTCCTCAAGTTTTAATAAATTTTTTTAAAATAATTGCATTTTTCAAGGAATTTATTTAAAATTGTATTAAAAATATTTAAAATTCATCGATGAAAATAATTGAATTCGTAAATAAAATTTTATTATTTATGAAAATAATTCAATCTTTACGTAGAATTGTATCAAAAAGTTTTTTCTATAATTAAATCTGTTGATAAATTTTATGAAAATAGTAAATATTGAAAATTACTGAATTGCAAAAAATTTGTGAAAGTAATTGAACTTTTGCAAAGATTTTTATAAACTTTTTGAAAATAACTGAATTTTTGGCGAAAAATTTTGCTATTTGTAAAGATAATTGAATTCTTGACGAGATAATCGTGAAATTTTTAAAAATAATTGAATTTCTTCGAAGAATTTCATTACTTTTGAAAATAATTGAATTCTTGGGACGAATATTGTAACTTATAAAAATAATTGAATTTTGTAAAGAATTTTATTAAAATTCCTAAAAATTATTGAATTTCTTTGAAGAATTTGGTTATTTATCGAGATAATTGCATTTAAACTTTTGTAATAATTAAATAATATTAAAAAATCCATTCTTGTCAGAAGTAGAAAATTTTTTTGAAGGTTTTGTATTAGAATTAGTGCTTTAAAAAATTTTAGTACAATAAGGAGTACAATGGTAAATATCAATTTACATTTAACTAGTCTTTAAGGTTCAAATATAATAATTATTTGAATGTAATTATTTTCAAAACATTTAATAAAATTCTTGGCAAATTTTCAATTATTTTCAAAAATTTTCGTCAATTTAATGATTTTCAATATTTACTATATTTCAATAAAATTTTCCAAAAGAATTCAATTTAAAAAAAAAAAAACATTTCATTGTTGTCATAAATAATAAACATTTTACAGGAATTCAATTATTTTTATAAATAATAAAACACGAATTGCAGAATTTCAATTATTTTCATAGTACAATTTTAATCAAATTCCTCGAAAAATCTATAATTATTCTTAAAAAATTTATTTGAAATTCGTCGAAAGAATTCAATTATTTGAAAATTTGGTGATATAAAATTCTCCCTGATAATTGAATTTTATGAAACATTGAATCTTTGAAAATTGATATTTTTCATACATTTAACTATAACAATTATGTAGAAAATTGTATATATTAAAAATAATTGAAATTCTGCGATGAATTTCATTATTTATGAAAATAATTGAATTCCTAAAGAGAAATTTATTATTTATGAAAATATTTGAATTTTTTTTTTTGAAGAAATTTATAACAAATTTGTAAATAATTGAATTGTGAAATTTTTATTCTTTACGAAAATAATAGCTAAATGTTTGCGTAGAATATTTTATTAAAATTTTTTTTATTTTTTATTTTTTTTTTATTTTTTAAATAATTGATTTTTTTTTGGAAAATTTTACCAAAATAATAGTTATTGAAAATCATTGAATTGTTAAAAATTTTTAATGGAATACCACGAAAAACTTCTTAAATAGTATATGAATATTATAAAAAATGGAATAAAATGAAGAAATGGTTACACAGTGTATAATATATAAATTGATTTTGTTAAATTGTAAGTCGAGTGATATCTGTTGCGTCGCGACAATGCGTCTATTTTTGTCAACGACGACGTTACGGTGGATCGAGCGGGCAGTGTCGATGTCGAGAGAGTGGGGGATGGGGGGGGGGGAGAGTGAGTGACGACGACGCTGCCGACGCTGCCGACGACGACGACAACGACAGAGGAAAGCAAGCAGAGAGAAAGAGCGTCAAGGGTTTGGGTGGGAGTCGCGAAACGCAACAAGTAGTTTTAACCCCCTCCCCTCCCTTCGCTTCGCTTCCATTCGGCGGATTTTCCCTCTCACTCTCTTATATTGCGCACTCATCCCCCTCGGTCATGCCTCATCCCTGTTTCTTCACCCCTTTCGTTATCCGACGCCGCTCACCAGTGGGACTTCTTTTCCGACGCGCACACCCGGCGACGCCACTGTCTGCCCAACATAAGTGTGGTGCTCCTCGCTCGCGTCAATACGCTTTGCAATAGGCGCCGCAATGCTCCGCGCATATAGCCACTTTCCAGACTAATTTTGCAATTCTAATCGAAACCGAGCATTACACTATATGTATATGTATATATATATATAAATTCTGCCCCTAACAACTTGATACAGTCTTTCACTTTAAACGACAAAATGTGCGCATTCTTCTCTCATTTTATTTAACTCTTTTCAATTTTACTTCTTATTTGTTACAGATATTTCGGATTATTTTCATTAAA